CACTTGCCCGAAGGCAGCAACCCTCATGTGCAGAGCCCAGCTCACAGATCGTCTCAGTTTTGAAAAGGCGCTTGAAGGTAGGTAAAGAATCAGCGCTGCGAATGTGGAGGGGGATGGCGTTCCAGGTGGAGGGTCCGACAATAGAGAAATTATGCATGGCGGACGTGGCCCTGACTCTCGGTGTCGAGACTAACTCCTGGGTAGAGCTGCAGAGAGTTCTGGTGGTGGTTTTGGAGCTAGGGCATCAGGAGATCCGAGAGGTATGAAGGGCACTATACTTTGAAAAGCACTGGAAATTGAAACAGCCATCGCCTTGTTATGGAAAATGTTGACTTGTGTTTAGAACTAGAGTCGGTTCATAGAATGTACACGACTGTGGAGTAAATTCCTCTCGATTCTATGACGCATTTTATTTATTAATAGAAAGTGACGTTGGCACAAATAGAACATCGGTAGAATGCGAAAAATAACGAAACAGCAATGGTAAATCATAATCGGTTTATTTTGAGTTAGATCATGTGGGTATAACGTCGATTCGAGCTTGTTAACCCTTCACCACCCGACACAGCCAAACAAACCGAGTCGCCTCGTTGGGCTGCGTTGAAAATCAAACAACGTTTTGACAATTTTATGAGAATAAAAAAATATATATACCGGCGTAACGAGTCCACCAGACGAAGATTGAGACGACACGCTCTTTTCCACGGGGTCACGGCGCGTTCGACCACTCCACTCCCAATCCCACCAGGATGTGCCCCGATCGCCCCGCCTCATCCGGTGACGTCAACACTCCCCTCCTGGGCGTTCCCTCTCACGCCCTGCCTTTCCTTTGTGACGTCATCTTTAACGTAACCTGGGATCCCGTGGGCATTTCTACTCCCGGATCGCGTAAGTATTAGCACTACACAGGTATCGATCAATGGTGCCTACATCCGATCCAAGCTGAGCATCTCGTCAAGAAGACTTCTAGAAACAACATGCAGCAAGTAAATCGACGCAGAGGCAAAAACTTTTATAATCAAATGCTGTCAAAATTAAGAGGTGGCATGTATATACATCGTTACTGTATTTGCATTACGACATGAGGGAGACATTCAGGTTTATATGTAAAATTTAAAACATTTCATTTTAGTTTCACTAAACTCCATTTTTTGGCCCAATCGAATTAATAAACAATCTCAAATTTAAGCAAAAATATCCATTGAACGAAAAATGTGAAACGGTTTAACTCGGTGATGTCAATTATTCATCAGATATCGTGAAGGTGCTGTATGTCAGTAATATGAAACGTGCGTGGAATACGTTCCTGATATGCTCGTTAAAATGAAATTTCGTGGCTAACGATATTGGCCTACGAACTCAACGCATTCGTCAATAACACTGTGTGGACGTAAAATAAAAAAATTGGTGACGTTTTTCAAAAATTGTCCTTCATAGCTGAATGAAGACAAAGATCCCCCATATTGCCTTAACAGATTGTTGGGGTAAGTGCTGTTAGCGAGCACCTATGACGGCCGGCATGGTACACGAGGGGGCGGGTGGCCAGCACCACGCCTGGCCATCTTTGTCTCCCCAGTGGCGATGTTGACGCACCGCACCAGGTACTCATTTGAGGCTGAGTTGATTTAGGGCAGGCCCAGAACCGGTTCAGATAATCGTCACTGATGTTGGGCCTTAGCGGGAATCTATTTTGGCTCGCCGGATTTGCAGCGCAGAGCGCTACCTGCTACACTACCACTCACATACAGTAGAGAGAGGGCCCACTTCCCCACATGCTAAAAGACTGTCGTATTTCAGTCAAACTTATCACGGGTATTTATATATATATAATTCTAAGAAGTGTAATTTTGCCAAATCAATTGTAAAACAAAAGTTAGTTTGTATATGTGTGTAAATTCACTGGTGAGTGTTAACTACCTACACTTTTCAGTCGGTCTTGAGTGACAGGCAGCTTCCAGAATTCAACCCCAAGACCTCAGCAGTCACAGCTCAGCATTCTGACCGCTAAGCCACTTCCTTGACATGGGTATTTCACACACCGTGAGCTTTCCAACCCACTTAAAAATATATAATACGTTACCCTTGACTTGACCTTGCAATAGAAAACGATTGAGTTGCAAATGTCAAGTATGCATGGGCATAATTATTTTAGTTGCATCGTGCCCTTGACACATGTAGCCACTGCATTTTTAAACACGCGTCAGTTACGAACAGCGAGTCGTGTTCGACAGCACCAACACTCGAACAATTGCGGAAGGGAGTCGTGTACTTTACAATCATTATACAAGCAACCGAAAAACGTTAACCACCCCCTCCCCACGACGAAACGTGACGCTGAGCAAATGTTCCAATTCAAAATAACAAAAACGACTTACTTGTGGGGCATCCAGACTTCATGAGTTGTGGCCCGTATTAACTTAGGTGCTGAGCGCCGTGGGGCACCGATATAAAATAAAAACAAAGAGATATAACTGCTCAACCCGAGCTATAAATACTCTTGATATTTGGATTGTCTCTGTCCCGTTCGCCTGTTGGCGTTCTCTGGACTGACACTGCTGAGACAAAGAAATAAAGAAGGCTGTCTCTGGTGTAGGCCAATTAGTTTCAAAGACAACACGTATACTATCAGGGCATGTTTGCATGTTTTGCCACAAGTACGTGTGGTTAATGCAGACTTGATGCCTTGCAAAAAGGTATCTATTTAATGTTTTAACATCTTAACGCCTGTTGTATTGTCATAAAGGGTAAAACCGAATCTATTTTTCACATACTTTGATAATGGCAAAAAATATCCCATATAAATAAATACACGATTAAATATAAACATGGACATTGACAGGGAATGTAAAAGGGCATCTTAGCTCAGTGGACCATACCCGATATAAACTGACTGATAAGAGGAAGTTGTATTAAAAAGAGTGATGAGCCGTAGAAAACAGTGCTAGAGGGTACTTAGGGATCACGAGAGGGTACGGGATGGACGAGAAGGAGTGGAGGGGCGAGGGGAGGGAGAGAATGGGAATAGCGAAGAAGTACGTTTTAAGAGAGGAATGGAAGGAGGTTCAGGACGGGTACTTTAATGTAAGGGGCAGTGTTGAGTCTATGGGTAGCAGTGTTGAGTCTATGGGTTCCAGTGTTGAGTCTATGGACACTGTTGAGTCTATGGGTTGCAGTGTTGAGTCTATGGGCAGTGTTGAATCTATGGGTTGCTGTGTTGAGTCTATCAGCAGTGTTGAGTCTATGAGCAGTGTTGAGTCTATGAGCAGTGTTGAGTCTATGGGCAGTGTTGAGTCTATGAGCAGTGTTGAGTCTATGAGCAGTGTTGAGTCTATGAGCAGTGTTGAGTCTATGGGTAGCAGTGTTGAATCTATGGGTCGCAGTGTTGAGTCTATGAGCAGTGTTGCTCAATGTACAGGGGAAGTTAATTCCCGTGGAGGGGTGCAAGGAGGGAGAAGGATCGAAAACGGGATTGTGCACAAGGAGTTCGGAGGGACAGAGAGATATACAGAGAGCAGATTGGGAATGAAGAGGACGAGCGGAGGGGACATGGACGGAGATAAGAGAGGCAAGATGAGGTGGGGGCAAGGACATGAAGATATTTGTTGATTAGCGTCAGGTATTTGAAAAGACCGATGTAGGAAATGGAGTTGAATGAGGAGAGGCGAAGTGTGCTAAATCAAAGGGGAGATTGGAAATAACTCGTGCGGAATCATTTTGCTTTTGTTGGAGGGGAGTGGAGGGCAGAGGCAGGGAGACAAGAAGATAATTACACTAGCCCAGATGGGTGAAGATCAGACAATGAACCAGGAGTTTGGCGGCAGAAGACAGATGTCCGATAGGAGAAAGATATAATCAGAGATACAAGATGTAGGAGAGATTAATCCGTACAGCACTTATGCCACCACATTGCATTCCTCACTCCGCAGGCTGTAACCACCACCAAATTTCCCACCGCCATGGCAAGCCTCTACAGAGCCCACATACACACAGTGGCCCCGAGAGTCACTCAACTATTTCACACCGTCGTCTTAACAAAAGCGTGACATTTATTTATTTTAGCTTCACAACTCCGCCGGGCCTTTTTTGAATGGCGACTTGGAGTGATGCGACGTGCCCAGGCTAGGTGAGTTTTTTAGGCTGGGTTTGGCCCATTGGCCCAACGTGTGGCCAGACCTGGGCCCCCCTCTCTGCACGCTGCACCGTGGCACATCGTAGGCCGTACAAAGGTGCCCGTCATGAAAATAGTTCCTAGCAAGCTTTTTTTCCGCCCCTAAACAACAACCGTAACGACATTATAAATAACATTTGTTGCGATCATTATGTAACATTCCATCACACGTCTATTATATAATCCAAGTACATTATTATATAACTAGGCGAGACCTCAAAAGACCAGGATGAGTCGCATTTGCAGGAGCAAACTGGGGTATTAGTCTGTCAGTAGGGGGGAGATGATTTCTGCTGTGTGTAATCTCAATTGAGTAATTTACTGCGTCAATTTCGAATTCGGCACATTTGGAGCCCGTTCTCCAGTACACAACGGCCATCAGGGGATCTTCAACATCCACTGTGAAGCACATGGCATGTATTATTTGGTGAATACACACTGCAGTATTAACCAGTGTGGCCGCTGGAATCGAACCGCAAACCTCTGCAAAAAGCGGCGAATGTGATTTCATTATAATAATTTCAGCCTGTAATGCGCCGCAAAGTGTTCGCTCGCCCTCGTAGAGAGAGAGAGAAAGCAACTCAGAGGGCGCAAGGAAGAACCACAGAAAACTGGGAGGGCACGCGGTGACCTGGTGCTACCAACAATTGCCCAAGGACGCCACGGTGGCGAGATGTTAACTACCTCGCCTTGTATATAGGAGGTTGTGGATTCGATCCCGACCCTGACGCCTGTTGTATATTTGGAGTTTGCGTGTTCTCCTCGTGGTCATGTAGATTTTTCTCCGGGTCCTCCGGTATTCCCCTCGACATTTAGGAACATGCGTTTAGAGTGTTTGGCTGCTATAAATGTCCACATGATAAGCCACTTTGCTGAGCTATCCTTTGTGGCCAGGTCGCTTATGAAAAAGAGCTATATTTCTAAGTAGGCTTTACCTGGTACATATTCTTTATAGTTTAATCGTTAAAAAGGTCTGCGGTCCTTTTTATATTAAGGTGTTATCGACTTATTAATGAGTGTTCACATGCATATTACATCTGAGGCCAGATTGGCAAAATGATATCAGTCTACAATCTACTACTGCATATTCATTATAAAAAATAATTTTCACACTACCGTTGATTGTAAAAAAAAAATATTTCGTTAAAATACGTTGCGATATTTCAATCAGGCACCAAGTATCTACAAATAATAATTTACAGCCCTTTGTCAATCTACTGCTGGGTGAAGGCTTCCCCACACCGTGTCAGTCGTGGAGGCTGTTTGACTATACAACACCACGCTGGTAGTGGTTTAGCGAACAGCTGGTCCAGGGCCGTTTCAGTAATCACCACCGATGTCACTAACCGCTATGCGACCTACCGGTCCAACCCAAGTGCCTAATGGAAATACGAATAATTGTTTCAATGTAGATGACATTCCAACCCAGTAATTCTGAGACTTTGCATAATAAAACCAAATATGTTCAAACTTGGGCTCATTACATGACAGAGTATTATTACAATGTTTGATTTTGGTTGTCATGTAATGTCCAAATAAATAAATAATCGATCTATACGAGTTGATTATGAACCACCCACTGTCCCAACTTCCTCTGTAAAATTTCGTTTGACAGGAGAAGCAGGCATCGACATGTGAATTCCACATCAAACTCGGCCCCCGCCTGTCAATTCATTGGGAAATTAAAATCTAAAATGTGAGATAAACGATGGCACGGACTAAAGTTTAAAACAAATTAGGAGCATCAATGCAGTCGCTAAACTTGTAAGTACGAGCGCCTGTGTTAACAATAAAATATAAATAATGCAGTTCTTGCACTTGCTTTCAGGTGACTCTAGAGATGGGCATACCCACACTTTATTCCACTACCAAGTGCAACCTGCTTTCTAATAGACTAGCATCAGCTATGCACTTTTAATTCGAGATTGAAAACGAATTTCCATGGAACTGCTTTTTTGTATTTAGTTTGTGGTCCTTACGCTCACACCCCCGATTAGGACGGTTGGTTACGTACGGTGCGAACGAAATTCAACATACATATATGAAGGATAAAAATATGTCCATTTATAACTAACATTTACTTGTGATAGAGACCATATTTGCGACGGCAATTCCGTTGTAAAGATATACAATCATTGCTCACATTTTTATTATTATTTCCATTGCAAATTCAGCTTCAAAAAGTTACCGTCTCTGCCACTTGATGAGAACACTGACTTCGAGCAGCCAGCGTGACGGACAGCTCAAGCATGATAACTTCTTGTCACATATATTAAGGGACAATTTACTCCCCTTTTTAGCGTTTAAAATAAGACATCGCTGCACGTGGCTTTCGTCGCGTTTTGCCACGAAAGAAGAGAACAAATCCTGGTAACTGAAACGCATCCCAGCTAGCGTCATTTGCTGATGGAACTTCGCTCTTGCAAGGTAGTGAGGTGGATTGCGTTGCGGCCCACCAACAGTGTAGGGCTGTAGCCGAGGGCGAGACGAATTTGTGCCACGCACAGGCACTCATCTCTGCGTTCGTAGCATCAGCGTGACCCTTGCGGAGACTTGTCCATTGGTTTGACTTCCACGGACGTCCCAAAGATCTTGTCCCAGTGGCAGAAGTAAGGCGCGAAGTTTTTCGTCGGCTTCTGGTGGTGAAGGTCGTGGTGCGGTGCCCCTCCGTAGAGGCCTCTGGGCAGCAGATGATGAAGCCCCCAGGGCAGGTCGTACCCCGAATGATCCTCGATGGAGAGGTAGACATTGAGCAGCATGAACGTCCACGTGGTGAGAAGGTGGCAGTGTAGCACGATGGGATCGATGGTGGTCCAGATGCCCACGCTTATGAGCTCCCAGCCGCCCATGTACTGCGTGCTCCACGCAAAGGGCACGGTACACTCATGGTGCACAGCATGGAAAGTCCTGTACAGCCAGCGCACGCGGTGGTGCAGTAGGTGCCAGGCAAAGTACTGAAAGTCGAACAGCAGCAGGCAGGCCAGAACGCCGTGGCAAAGCTCAAAGAGGCTGGGTGCCTTCTCTGGCAGGTCGATGGCCGGCCGCCAATACCACTGAGCCACCGTGGCTGGGAAGACGAACACGACATTGTTGTAGATCGTGAGCGCCACGCAGTCGCAGACGGCCCTCAGGCTCGGTTCCTCTTTGCTCGCTTGAATCTTGTAGTGGCGCAAGTGAGGAGCCAGCCGGCGAGTCACAAGGCCCACGGCGGTGAAGAGCAGGCAGAACACGTAGTAAGCCGTCACGGACAGGACGGCGGGGAAGATGGACGAACGCAGCGTGTGCCCGTAGTTCAGGCGCAGAACGTCCCACAGCGGCTGCAGCAAAGACTCCTCGCCTGTCCACGATTCCAGCAGCTTGCAGAGTCTTGCCGACTGCACGGCCTCGAGCATCATCTGATGGCCCATCTCCACTCGTCCGGCAAAATTTTGCGATTTACTGCGAGCTCTCGATAAATAACACTATCATGCAACGATTTGCTGTTTTCATTACCTATACCTGGCAGTTGACGTGCATGCATGTATTGAGGTATTGTTTAGTTTTCACGCCTTCTATATTTAAATACAGCTCACAGTTAAATATGAAAATGAAGAGGTACTTTAAAACAAAAAAAGTCTATCTACCACTGATGTAGCGTTTTGGAAGCGGTGTCGCACAAGTCGAAACAATGCCCTCAAAAGGTGCGGGTCATGAAGGAGGACTTATATGACCGGGAGGAACCAGTGACGAGGTTACATTGAAACAGCAAGGAAAGCAGAAATGTGTGCAGCAACCCGCAGACCACAGTATAAAATTCACGAGTCATGGAACCTTTCATGACGAAAGTGAGCTTCTTATAAGTCACTATGCGATAGGGGCAGATTTAGCCAAAGCAGCCACATCTGCATGCGTGCATGGTGTGTATTATACAAATAGTTTTGGTGATCTGTGCCTAACGCCTGGCACTCTGCACGCTGGGTGTAACGATGGGTCGGCTACGTGGGGTTGTCATGCAATGCAAAATATTTATTTTTGTTTTTCATGAAAGGGTTATTATTAAAATTGTAACTACTTAGTAGTTTGTTCCAAGAATAATCGATTTCATCCACAAAACATGCCAGCGCTGCATTTGATAAAAGCTAAGTGCGCCCCTGTTTTTGTATTATTTTTTGTCGTTTTGCACGCCATTAAAGAACAATAATAAATAATAACCGATTTAGTTATCATTCCTGCATTTGCTATCACTGTCATTAAGTCACAAGGACAACCGTTAAAGTATGTTGCACCTTATCTCAACAAACCTGTTTCTCTCCATGAACAACTTTATTGTGTTGCTTTGTCAACATGAAAGTGCCGATTCAACAAAATTCGTCGCAAGCAACACTTTTGGGAGATGGTTGTCAATTTACACCAAATGTGATATCCGTAAGAGAGGTTTTTTTGGGTTAGATCGCGTAAATATATAAATGTGTCGTTAAAACCCGCCACCACCCGACACAGCCAACTAGTGAGGGTTGTTACGTAAACAGAACTTGGCAATTCGTCACGGTGTGCTGTACTAGTGAATTATGAATTATTTCCTCATTCTCTCACTTATGCCTCATTCACTCAATCCTCCCTCATTCAAATACTCAAACCTCTCATTATCATTAGTCTCTCAGTCACTAATTTTCTCATTTGCACACACACTGCGTTCTGGCGAACAGCCGCAACACATTCGATTGTGGAATGCGCATAAGCACGCGTTGAATTTCACAGTACATATGAGCAGAATTGTGAGAGTTTTTATTTATTTAACGAATGCACAGTCCCTAAGCCAAGCTGTTGCCACCGATCCTGCTGTGTTCAGAGTGAGTCGGCCTCCACTCACTCACCAGCCACCAGGCAATATCGGACACGACACGAGCTGGTGAAGAGATGGAGTGATGTGGTACAGGAGGACGTGGAGCTGAGTGGACTTGCCGATGACTGGTACCAGCGGTGTCAAGATCTGCCTCTGTGGAGGAGGCTCGTGAAGGACGCTACTGGGCAGTTGGAGGCAGTCGCCCCTCCAACATCAAAGGAGGGCGGAGGAGCGACGCTCACAACAACGAGCAGAGCGCCGGGTGACTAAAGCACAGCAAGTTGGCACAGTAGGGGGCACAGGTGGTGCATCAGCCAGTCATCTCCATCAGCCAACCCATGGCACCTGGGTCTGTCCCGAGACCTCCTGTTATTGAGCCTTCGACACTTCACGTGATAGCTTCAAAGTCCACCACCAAATGCCAGGGTGTCTGTGAAGGTGGTTGTTGCCAGGTGGTTTCCTTGGGCGGTGTCGGTGGTAGCACAGGAGGTCGTAGGCTTTGATGGAGTAGCTGCTGGCCTCTTCCATTCCAATGTGGGTTTCTTGCAGGCAAACGATATCAGCAGTGTGTTGGACAGCAAGGACTTCAATGAGGCTGCGCTTGGCTGCCGACAGGTCTTCGACATTGAGTTGGAGGATTCGGAGGGCTGATCCGCCTGCAATGTGATCTTGAGGCGGTTTCTTCTCGGCTTTGGGACGTTAACGAGGATTCGTTGAGGCTCTTCTCACGAAACTTTTTTTAGAATTTAGTCTGCTTGTAGCAAGGCCGTAATTATGATATATTGGGGGGGCACACCCCCCCCAATAATCAAATATGCCAAAAATGTCCCCCCCCCAATATATTGCTATAAAATATTTTTAAAATAATAATTGCGATGCTATGTAAATAAAAACAACAATTTGCTAAACCTTGGCCACAATATCTGGACTTGTCTTCATATAACAATGCATAGATTTCTGTTTATATGATTGTGGTTATGGTTGTACTTTATTAATCCCTAATCTCTGCCATTGCACACAATGAAACAAGGTAAAAAATAAAAAAAAACAGCAGTATAATACAATAACACTATTAGACATTATTGTAAAAAAATAAAGTCCATCCCATGTGTTAGTTAAATTTTTATATATATTTTAGGCAGGAAATGGCAGGAAATTAGTTTTCTAATTTAGATTTTTTTTTGGGGGGGGACCCCAGACCCCCTGGAAGATTTGGTCCCCCCCCCCCCCAATGTTGATTCCATGGCTACGGCCTTGGCTTGTAGGATCATTCATTTCCCCAGGCGGACCTGGGTACTGACGGGGGGTACGACATGAACGCTGATCCATTGAGGGAGAAATTTTGTATGCTTTTGACTTAAAATGTATTGAATTCTTTCCTCATACAATCACTCATTCCTCCAATTTTCATTCTTACCTCATTCAATCACTCAATCTTCTCATTAGTTTTCATCATCAAATTAAACTATTGACTTTTTTTATTTTACCAGGTAAGGACCACTGAGCTATATAGCTATTTTTTCTGTATTGCTCAACGTAGTCGGTTATCGTGTGGAAATGTATAGCAGCCAAATACTTTAAACGCGCGTTGTTTCAAAATGTGGATGGGGAAAACCGGAGGACCCCGAGAAAAATCCACACAACTACAGGGAGAGAGACACGCAAACTCAAATATACAGGTGTCAGGGGTCGGGATCGAACCGTCGGACCTCCTGCTTACCAAGCGAGGAAGTTGACATCTCCCTACCACGGCGCCCCGATCAATAACCCGGCTCCCTGATGCTCTTCAATGACTTCCTGCAGAGACAGCCGTTACTAGGGACGACGTTGCTAGGGACGACGTTGCTAGGGACAGCCGTTGCGTGCGACGACCTTGCGAGGGGCGACGTTGCTAGGGACAGCCGTTGCTGGGGACGACGTTGCTAGGGGCGACGTTGCTAGGGACAGCCGTTGCGTGCGACGACGTTGCGTGGGGCGACGTTGCTAGGGACGGCCGTTGCTGGCGACGACGTTGCTAAGGCGACGTTGCTAGGGACGCCAGTTGCTAGGCTGGCGGTTTGTCCTCGCGGCCATCAGAGGCGTATTTGATTCTGTAGTGCACATAAGCGCGTTACAGTTCCGAGTGCTGGAATTTTGTAGTCCATATAAGCGCTTTTTTGTTTGTTTTGTGCCCAGAACTCGACAATAGAAGGTCGTGGAGAAACGCATTTTGTGATTATGAAAGCCCATTGCCAGATATGCCACTTATAATATATCCTATGATGTCAGTGCTATTGATGAATGCGTTATTTTTTATTTGGGCTTGTGCACCACTGCCAATCGCAGCATCACCAATTAAAAGTTGACACTTTCGAAGGGGGCCTTAATTGGGATTTTGACCAATCCCTTGAGGTACCCAGAGAAAACCCACCAGGCCAGCAAGGGGATCTTCAAGGTCTGCCAATGTGTGTTCATGGACCCGCTTTCTGTACTCCCATTGCCTGGCAGTACATAAAGTTTTGTGGAATCCCACAAATATATAACAAAAAAAGTCACCACTGCGGTCCAGCTGTGGATAAACCTCGTCGTTCCAAAAATTGTCTAACACCAGATTAGATGCGACGTATAAACCGTACCTTATAATTCTTCACTCACCACCGTCACTTGCCAATACGTCCCAAACAGAGCTGGGGGGCCCTGATGCACCAACTTGGGACCGAGCGGAGTGGCCACCACCCGCCTTTGCTGTCACTTCGGTCATAATTTTTTACGAATTTATTTTGATGGTGGCAGTAAGACAAGAGGATCGCAGTGCTCTTCGTCAGGAGCTGCTGGTGTGTGTTTTTTTTTGCATTAGTGCACGAATGCTGAGTGATTTTTGTACACGTTTCCGTCTGCTTTTATTGTTAACTATCCTGGCTACCTTTTTTTCTGTCCAGTGAGGCTGCTTCTACACCAGTCAACTAGGGAAGGTCAAGAGCAAACTCATTTCCAACATACCACCTATGCTATGCGTGACCATAAACCCAAACCAGGTCACCGAGTTCACAGTACGGTCCATCACGAAGACAAAGATCCCCCGTGTAGCCTCAACAGACTGTTGGGGGCAAGTGCTGTTAGCGAGCACCACCTATGAAGGCCGGCACAGCACACGAGGGGGTGAGTGGCCAGCACCACGCCCGGCCGCCTTTTTTCTCCCCAGTGGCGATGTTTACACACCGCACCAGGCATTCATTTGAGGCTGAGCCGACCTATGGGAGGCCCAGAACCAATTCAGATAATCGTCACCGGTGTTGGCCGTGAGCGTGAATCGAACTCGGGTCGTTGACTTCATAGCACAGCGTGTTAATCGCTGCACACCCCATATTTACACACACGGAGAAGTTCAACTTAGTACACAGTTGGGCAAGATTTACACACTGGTCTGAAGCTGTATATATAAAAAAAAATGTGTACGGTATGGGCACAGGACATGCATGTACTTAAGCTGTTCCGCAACCTTGTGGTCCAATAGATCAGTTGTCAGCATGGGCCAGCTGTCATTGCTATTACAGCAGCAGGAGCAGTAGATCTGCAGTAATCTAAACAGGAAATTACCAAGCGGCCAGTTGTTCCAAAAATGTCTCATCCTTATCTCGAACATATAGAAAATTGTGAGTGGTTGATGTAAATGCTAAGGATATTCTAGAAAGGATGGAAATCTGCAACTTGAACCAAAGTAAAACATATCTACACCCTTATTTTGGTTTTTATTTAAGCATTACTTTAAATGTTGTATTAAATGCCTACAAATATATAGTCCCCATCATCAGTGGACAATTGGCCATCTTCCCTTCTTGCCATATGTGGTGCTTCAGCCCATTTACTTCTCTTAACATTCTCCCATGGCGGGTAACACGAAAGCCAAAACAATATAATTAGCGTATTTGTGGATGATATCACGAAATAAATTAGCTGAAAATACGGCCCCTTTGTACTGTATATCCGTCCTTGCACACAAATAATACAAGTACAATATCAATTTTTTTTTTTTACAAATCCCATCAGCCATGAACTCCCAGAAAGCCACGTGGCTGATGGGATGTGTAAAATATGTTCACGTGGCATAACAGACATATGCAGGAAATAATAATTATTGTTATCAAAACAAGCTTATTTTAAACGAGATTCGAAGCTTTCGGGACTGCAGGGATTATTGTTTAGTTCTTTTGGTAAAGTCACGTAGAAATAAAATAAATTAAATGATAATAATAGAATACGACGTTTCGATTGCAACACAAGCAGCCATCATCAGGTACAAATGAATGAGAAAACAAACGGTAAACTTGGAAATATAATGCAATTAATCAACCGGGCTATGCGTTGACTGTGTGCTAACCGACTCTCTGTGTTGCATTGCATTACACTTCCTAATTTTACTAAATTTTATTTCTACCGCGCTTGTCTCGTGCTTGTTTATGAGTCCATTCTCTTCTCCGGCCGCTATGGGCAGGAATTCCACACAGCTCCCCCTCTGCCTCCCCCCCCCTCTCTCTATTTAAGGCCTCGACACAGAGACGTTGTCTTTCTGTGTGCCTATGTGTGTGTCTCTCTCTGTCTCTGTGTGAGTCTCTCTCTCTGCTTGTGTCTGTCTGTCTGTGTGTTTATGTTTTG